AAAAAAAAAAAAAAAAAGAACATTAGGATTTTAAAGTCTGTTCAGTGAAGAAGAAAACTAAAGAGGAAATAAAACAATTCACATTTTTTTGGAAAAAGTATAATAAACCCAAAAATGAAACAACTGAAGAAAAAAGTTGCCTTTTTCAACGGAAAACAGAAATATCTGCTTAGGAAAAATAAACCTTTTAAAGTTACAATAAAAATTTTTATTTTTGCCCTGTACTCTACCTTTTTTCTACTCTTTTTTTTTCGATATGATATGGAACTTTTATAAGAGACCCATAAAACTTCACTTATTTATATCTGCTGAAAAAGCATTAGAAGAAAAGGTGAAGCAAAAGTTTCGTACTGTACTTGTTTGCACGACCATTTACCTGTTTATTGATTTTGCAAGACACCACACCTATGAACATCACATTAATATCACGTTTCTTCCTTGAATATTTTCTTTTTAATATTTGACTGAAATTGTAGTTCCACAGAATAGTACTCACGAAATGAGGAAGGAATAAAAACATAAAAAAAGAAAAAGAAAGTTGACCAGCCACGAAAAAAAAAGCTTACAAAACTGTTAATAAATTAAGAATTTCGAAAAAATTATATAAATTTTCTGAGGAACAAAGTCGGTGATATAAAAATGACAAGAACTATATCAAGAAATGAACAAAAATAAATACATCGGAAAAAAAATCGGAGGAAAAAAGACGCTAAAGAAGGTACTGAAAAAAATTTTTCTTATTGTTTCAAGTGCTTTAATTTGTTTGCTGCTCACTTAAGGTTTATTTCTTTTTCTGTTTTCTTCCTTCTTTTCTTCTTCTTTTTTTGCCACTTTTTTATTTTTAAATTCTATGAAGAGTTGTGCTCCAATTTATACATCATAATATTTATTTAACAAATGAGAATGCGGGTAATCAAAAAAAAATTATGAAAAAAAATTCAATAAATAATTCTGATGAACAAACATCGAGAGTATTCAAGAACTTTTTCTCCTCTTTGTTTCAATTGGACTCCCAAACCAAAAAAAAAAGAGGAAGAAATGCTGTTGTTAGCCGTTATGTATATCTTTGTGTGTTATGTGGAATTGTGGAATAAGAAGCGACGCTACAGTAAGCCTTGCGGAAGGCGACATGACAGCTAACAACGAAGTGAAGACGGAGAAGGCGAAGATGAAGATGAAGAAGAACAACGGCAAACTGAAGAAGGAGGAGGAGAAGAGCACGAACAACAAGAAGTATCAAACTCCGCCGAAGACCCAGCTGGTTTTGTGGGCGGAGACTGAGGTGACTCTAAGCCATGAATATTATCTGTGCTGTTATGCTTAATATACACTGATGCACTGGCATTGCCCGCAACCAGCGGCACTATCCATCTCATCCACCTTCAGATTCGGTCCCTCCCTCGTTGGCTTCGTCTTCCCTTCTTTCCTTCTCTCTGTCTCTCTGTGCACCCATCGGTCCATGTGTCTCGTCCCTCCCTCCGTTCCTCGGCTTGTCCATCCATCCGCCCTCCTGTCCGTTCCGTTGTCGCCTGTCACTTATTGCTACTGTGGCCAGCGAGTAGGTTCGGTTTGGCTTACCGGTCACCCAGAAGGCACACTTAGACATATGGTGGTGCATCATCGGCGGCGTCGTCTCAGCAATTGTGTCTTTTTTGATTTTTGCTGCTGGTCGTTTTAATGGAAACTTATCTTTTGGTTTGTGGCTAATGCTGCAGAAGCGTTACACAGCAGGTTACTGTCGTTGATAAATGTTGTTGGATAAACTTACGACCGACTATCTTCTAGATTAGTTCAAGTGATCAGCCAAGATTATTGTTGCTTTATGAAGTTGCATAATTACTTAAGTGGAAGATGCGAAAATGGGGAATGGCTGGGAGAAACATTTAACGATATTCATTTATAAAATAGTTTAACTTTTCTTAAAGACACGAGTTTAGTGAAGAAAAATTTTTCTTTCTTTATTTTTTCATCCTCTTCCACCAATTTCCTCAGTTTTTCGCTTGTTTTGCTTGTTGTGTTTCCCTGATTTTCTTGGATTTTGTTTCCATCCTGCAAAATCCTTTTTTCGTCATTAGTCGTCATGTTTCACGTGAATCATTAAGTACTGTATTATCATTAGTAATTTGTAAAACTTCACAACATCAGTAGTAAGGAAGAAGTCATCTTTTTCATTGAGTGGGAGTGAATAATTTAAAGATTGCCACTGGGCAGAAATAGAAAAACGAATCCACAATTACTGTGGATGAGAACCTGGTTGAAATCCTTTAAGACGACAGTGGGTTAGAAAGCAGAAAAGAAGAGCAAATGGGTGTAAGAGTGATTCATGGAAATTAAGAATTTAAATGTGTTTTTGAATTAAAATATAAATAAATGAATAAGTTTACTGTTTTGCAGTTTACCGACCTTTGTGCCTGGGGTCTTTCGTCCTCCCCTGAAGCGGATTTCACCATTAAGCCATTCTTACATTTGTCCTATCCAATTGATCTCGTCTTTAGCAGTAACAGAAGCATCTCTTTCACCGTCTTCTCATCCATTCATATTCCTCTTTTTAGTTTTGCCGCATTTACATCCTATTGTAGATAAGGATTACTTGCCATTGCTGCTGGAGCTCCTCCTCCTGCTGCTGTTTATGCTGTTGTCATGAACTAGTGGCAAGCTGTTTCACGCTTCTGATGATGATGGCTTTATCTAAATAATGTTACCCTTCTTTACATGACAAAGTCCGACCGGCTGCTGCAAATGATGCCGCTTTTACTGCTGTCGCTACCATTGGGTTGTTGTTTTTGTTGTTTTCATTGCTGCTGCTGTCGTTGTCGTTGAGGCCTGGGTGGTTGTTGATGGTTCTGGATGCTACAAATGGTTGCCGGCCTGTACCCTTAGGGAGGGGATATCCCAGTTGACAATCCCGGAGACGTATAGTCCATACCGTCAGACGGATGGGTCCATACTGCTTGAGTGCAGTCATCATCCAACACTAAACCAAAACGCGCTTTATTTGTTTGGTGTTGTTGCTGCGGTAGTGGTGATGGTAGTGGCGGTAGCAGTAGTTGCCGCTGTTGTTTGCGAATGATTTTGATACACCATCGTCTGATATCGCAAGTTGCAGCGGAACAGTTGTGGGGCAACGAATTCTGAAGGTGCAAAGTAGCATTCGGGGCGCGGTATGGGAGGCAACTGTAATTTGCCATTGGAAAGGGTGTTATCTAGCGTTTTAGTACATTTATCATTTCGTTGGTTTACGGAATTTAAATGACTTGAAAGCATCTTTGCTTTTTCTTCTTTTCTTATTTCATACATACATTTTTTTGCTACATCGCTTTCCGTTTTCCCAAGTGAATGGATTTTACTTGCAGGAAAAAAGAAGGAAAAAAATCCATTTTTTATCACCTGAATTCGGTGATGATAAGGTGTTATCGGACGAGTAGTTGGGCAGTAGGTAAATTTTAATCATGAAATTAACCCGTTTTATTAGACTCAATGAGATTTTCGGCATTTATTTCACTTTTTTTCCTTTTTTGCATTAATATATTTTTTGATTAAAATCATCAGCAAAACTGTTTGCAAACTGTTGTTTCCTT